GGCCCCAAAACAAAACAAAAAATGTTAATTTATGAAAATGTAGAAACTTAATTTATACTGTTATATTTCTCCTTAAATTCCTGCTCTGATAAATACATAGTTGGCCTCAAGGAAGAGCGAATAAATATTCTCCGTGGTTTCTAGGGCAAACAGTACAGAGTGAGAGAAATGGGCTTACAGCAAGTTACTTTTTAAAAGGTTTTTTAAGTTTTCTGTTTTTCGAGGTGCATAAACAGATCATATAACTAATCCGAATACAACTGCTGTGAATTCTGAAAGTGGCGGGCACTTAGCGGTGAGAGACTGGACCTGTGGAGCCCTAAGCCCTTCCCACCACTCCCTGGCCTCACCTCTCTCCCCTCCCCTTCCTCATCCCCTCCCCATCTTCCACCTCCATGCCCTCCTCTGTGCACAGATGCCCTGGGGTCCCCCTCCCCCCTCTTAGTTACTGCTGTCTCCCCTGGAGAAATTGGGAGGTGCTGCCCATTCTTGGTCTGAGTGGCGGAGAATTTGGGACTTGACCTCTGGGGACAGCCCTGCTGCCTGGTGCTTGCATCACTGGGAAGCCCCTGCCCCTGGCTGGTGGCTGCTGTGACCTCAGCCTCGCACAGTGGTCAGCTGTTCCATCAGAGGTTCTTGGTGGGGAGGGCTGAGCAGCGGCATATGGCTCAGCCTGGCCTTCTCTGCCCGTGCAATGGGCAGGGTTGGAAGGCACAGCGTGGACCGATGCAGCAGCACAGCGGGGAAGGCGTTTGCCTTGCAGGCGGCCAACCCAGGTTCGATTCCCAGCATCCCATATGGTCCTGAGTGCAGAGCCAGGAGTAACCCCTGAGCATCGCCGGGTGTGACCCAAAAGAGAAAGGTGCAGCATGCAGAGTGGGGTGCAGCTGCAACCGGCCGAGGGGGTCGTTGGAGGGGATGCTGCTGCTCTAGGGGTAGCCAGCTGGGTTCCAGGGCTGTGAGAGAGACAAAGGGTGCCCAAGCCTGGAGAGACCGCAGGGGGTCGTGTCTGCTCTGCTCTCTGGACGTGTCTGCGCCATGCCTGAGTTTCCTCCCGCCAGGCCCCGCAGCCCTGAGTACTTAGCTGCTGGCCACAGTCCCCCATGCTTGGTGGGCAGGGTGGGTCTTGCGCGTGGTTCCTCATCCTTGCTTTTTGTCTCCAAGCATCCACTGGAGCGTCCTAGGACTGAGCTGTGAGGAGGGGCACATCTGGCTCAGTGGCTGTCCCCTGGGGGCCGATGACCGCTTCCCTGTGGTGTCAGGAGTCCCGTCAGAGGGGAGTGCCAACCTGGCCAGGTGCTGGGGTGCTGGGTGGTGGGGGCCCACCACCAGAGGCCCTGGAGCTGCTCCCTGTACCCGCTGTTGCCGTCGCTTTGTTTGCGCCTGGCCCGGCGTGGCCGCCATCCATGCGACCCCGACCCCCGAACATTCCTCCCGCGGTCCTCCTGCAGCACGTAAGACAAGGCCGGAGCTTAAAGGAAAATCCTCGGCTGCTTATCTCCTTCCCACAGGAAAGCAAATCTGTGTTGAAAACCGTAAAATTCCGAGGAGAGCAGGGAGGGCATAAAGGAGCAGCCAGGCCCGCGCCCGCCTCTGGCTGCGGCTGGGGTGGGGGTTGGATGGGAAGGAGAGGAGCCGCTCACACGCTCCTTCAGGAGGGGCGTGGGCCCGGAACCTGTACACACCCATGGACACACAGGCACACACACGTGCACACACACACGCGCGCACAAATGCGTTCATATACACACACATGCGTTCACGTACACACATGCACGCAGATGCACACACACACACACACACATGCACACACACTCATGCAGCTTCCACAGTGCTTACTCCACACAGCTGCCCTGAGCAAACCTGTCCTCACAGATTGTCCCGCGGTCACGATGCTTAGGAGAATTTTGAAATGAAACAAAGCATTTAAAGTGCAGTTGAAGTGTATATTTATTTTAGCATTTGAGTGGTAAAAATTTCTTTGGTTCCATTTTTTTAAGGATCTTTATTCATTTATTTATTTGCTTTTTGGGTCACACCTAGTGATGCACAGTGGTTACTCCTGGTTCATGCACTTGGGTTACTCCTGGCCATGCTGGGGGACCATATGGGATGCTGGGAATTGAACCTGGGTCGGGCTGCGTGCAAGGCAAAAGCCCTACCCGCTGTGCTATTACTCCAGCCCCTTTGGTTCCATTTTGGGAAGAGTTTATCATGATACCTGGCGTTCTGCATTCCGTCAACTCACCTGGCAGCTGCCTCACTGTAATCATGCGAGCACTGGCCTATTTCCTAACCTTTGGTGCATTTGTATGCGCAATGTCGCACTGTGGGGCAGGGAAGAGGCTGTAGCTTTGATGGCTGTGCTCGGTTTAATCAACACCACCCACCACCGGCACTCTTGCCAGGCGGAGTCTGATACTCAGGAAATAGGGAAACAACACTGGAGAAACGACATCATTAAAAATGGTGATTCAGGCCCAGAAGATAGTCAGCAGGTAGGGTGCTTACCTTGCACATGGCTGTCCCGGGTTTGATCCCCGTTATCCCCATGGGAGTAATTCCTGAGTGCCAAGCCAGGAGGAACTCCTGAGCACCACAGGGTATGGCCTCAAAACAAAAAGGTGATTCTGGTTTTCAAAATATTTCAACTTATCACTTAAGTCGTTAAATTACTGTTAAAGTTTTGATGTCTCTACAAAATTGCTACACCCTGCCACGACCCTAATGGTTTTTTTTTCCCCTCATAATAGGCTATGGAGAACTACTGATGTAGCAGTGAAAAGAATTAAGTGTATTAGGAGTGTGTTCGTGATTCTCCTGAGGGGAGGCAGTCCTTCCTGCGGGAGCCACATACTCTTTTATTCCTAACTGGTTCAAAACACAAAAAAACAACAGAATTCCACATGTCAGAGGAGTGACCACGTATGCTGTCCCTCACGTTGTCCCTCGCTCTGTCCCTCTGTCCGTCACTGTCTCTCACGCTGTCCTGTGCTGCAGCCATTGCTTTGTCCATATTGTAGCCCCAGACTTGGAGAAACTGGGTCCTGGAGGGCAGGGAAGACTCACCAGCACAAACTGCTCCTGGCCAGCACATGCCTGGCTAGTGCGTTAGAGGCTGCAGAATTCATGATGTTCTCTTCCTCTGAAATCCACGCTCCTTACTGCTGGAGTAACTTCTTCGTGGTTTCTACACACAGATCTTCCTCAGACTGCTTAATTGGTACATGAGTTTAAAGCTAGAAGCAGAGTGTGTGTGTGTGTGTGTGTGTGTGTGTGTGTGTGTGTGTGTGTGTGTGTGTGTTTAGCTCCTGGTAGTAGCTCTGTAACTATTTAAAAAACTGTAATACTGCTTTTAAGTTGTGATACCTCAGAAACAACAACAATCTGAATTAGGGTGGGATGCCAGAGATCTAATTCTATTTTTGATTTTGCTTAATAATTTCTTGGAGGGACCTGATGAAGGGGTAGAATTCAGCTTTAACCAAGCAGAAGGTGGCAGATTTGAGACTAAAGTCCAAACACATAACTTGAACCTTTAAAGAAATTATTTGTTTTTTTAGACTACTGAATTAATAAAATTTTAAATAAATATAAGGGATAGACCATATTTTATTTTAGGTCATTTCCCAGAGACTGTTTATTTTTTATTTTATTGAATCACCATGAGATATAGTTACAAGCTTTCATGTTTGCGTTACAATCACACAGTGATCAAACATCCATCCCTCCACCAGTGCACATTCCCCACCACCAATATCCCCAGTATATACCCCCTTTCCATCCTCCCACTGCCTCCATGGCAGACAATATTCCCCATACTCAATTGGGGCTTGGGATGGAAACATCCCAAATTTGGTGATGGGAAGGTGTAATGGTGGTGGTGGGATTGGTGCTAGAATATTAATGTAATCAAATACTGTGAACTAATTTATAAAATAAAAAATTAAAAATATATCCCCCATACTCTTTCTACTTTTGGGTATTATGGTTTGTAATACAGATACTGAGAGGCCATCACGTTTGGTCCTTTATCTACTTTCAGCACACATCTCCCATCCCGAACGATCCCTCCAGCCATCATTGGCTTAGTGATCCCTTCTCTATTCCAGCTGCCTTCTCCCCGGTTCATGAGGCAGACTTCCAGCTATGGAGCAATTTTCCTGACCCTTGTGTCTAATGGTCCTTGGATGTCAGTCTCAATGTTATGTTAACACATACTCCACAAATGATTGCAGTTCTTCTATATCTGTCCCTCTTTCTGACTCATTTCACGTAGCATGATACTCTCCATGACCATCCACTTATAAGCAAATTTCATGACTTCATCTTTCCTAACAGCTGCATAGTATTCCATTGTGTAGATGTACCAAAGTTTGTTTAACCAGGATAGGCCATATTTTAAATGGAACACATGTCAACAATTTAAGGCATTCATTAAAGCTGTATTCCACATAACATGGCTCAATTCACGACGGGATATTTCCTTTATTGGTTAAGCGTGCGGGCACTGAGATCCCACGTGAGCAGAACGGGGCTGTCCTGGACCAGAGCTGCATGAGGGCGACAGTGCTTGGGCATGGGAATGGCAGCGTCTGGGCGGCCAGTGTCCCCACATGTGGAGTCCTCGATGCGGTTGGGATGGCTTCAGCTTCTGGCTTCTCTGTGGGGGTTGTAGACCATTTGCTCTTCAGATTGCCTCAGATTTGCTCATTATTTATTTACTGGATACTTTTTCATTGTGTCCCTTTTATGCCTCGGCTCTCTATGGCCCCAGTGTTGCTAACTTTGCCTCTGGTGACTGTTGTGCTACCCTGAAGTGTTCCCCCATAGGTCGGGGTATATCCAGACCTGTGTGGGCAGCAGGGAGCCCCTCTCTGGACACTGGGGCAGCTGGGGGGCACCTGCCCTGAAGTGCTCTGGGGGAAACGGCCGTTGCATCGGGGAGGCGTCCCAGCAAGCGGGGCCCTGCTAACGGTTGCCCTGTGCTTCTTTTCCAGTCGAACAAAGTGCCCGTGGTGCAGCCGTCCCACGCCGTCCACCCCCTCACTCCCCTCATCACCTACAGTGACGAGCACTTTTCTCCAGGGTCACACCCGTCACACATCCCGTCTGACGTCAGCTCCAAACAAGGTGAGAGTCACCCCTTCTCCATGCCAATGGGGCCTCCGGGAGAACAGCCCCAGCCTCCTCCAGAGTGTCATTTTCTGTTTGACCGTGTGCTGGGCTGTGTCCCCTTGGTCTTTGGACAGCTCACACTAGGGCTTGGCCACAGCAGGACTGTCCAGGCCGAGCCAGTCAGAGCCAGTGACAGTTGCTGAGCAGACGACGTGAGCGCACGCACCCATCTGCCAGCATTCTGGGAAAAGGGGTCTTAAACAACAGTAAACCATTTAGAAAACCGATCCATGGTCCAACTTGGTCACGTCGTACATGTGCATGGACATGTCATGTGGTCCCGACATGGGAAATGGGTCTGTTACAGCACTTTTTACTTCATTTATTCATTTGTTCAGTCATGGAAAAAATATTTATTGAGAACCACTCTGAGAGAGTCCTGCTTTGACACAGAGTGGGGAAATAGTCTGCTTTCCTCAGCAGTGTCACAAGCTCAGGCTGGAAATTATTTGCACAGACTCATGTAAAACAAAATTAAGAACATCTTAAGCGCTATGCTAAAAGTACAAATAAAATGTAGATTCAAAGAAAAATTTGCAGAACTATAAAAGAGAATATTCCACTGGGACAGGGTGTTTGAAATAGGAGCAGATTGTAATAGAAGCTGTCGGGTTTAGTGCCCGTGTAGGAAGTGGCATGTCACAAGTGCTGAGGACCGCTCGCTCGCCCTCCTGCCAGCAGGCCCGAGCCCTCGCTAAGGGCAGAGTGTGCTGTGAGGCATCTGCCCACGGGCCTGTCACTGCCAGAGGTGCTGCCCTGGACACAGGGTGCTTTGTCCCGGGCAGCACTCACCATGCAGGTGCCCGAGCAGGATAGCAGCGGCCTGTGGTGGCTTTCGGGCTGGTAACCCCTGACCTCAGCATGATTTTCAAAGTTCAGATTTCCGTGATATTGCCCGTGTTCTCTGAATGTGTCTGTTTTTTTGTCCCAAACTGAGCCAATCCTGAATACTGAGGCTTGGGGTGAGCTCTGGTCTCAGGCATGGAAGCAGCGGAATGGAGACTCCCTGGTTTACTTATGGTGCGACCCTCCCAGGGACCCCACTGCCTCCTGAACCATTCCCAGCAGGAGAGTTTCCGGGGTAAAAAAAGATCGGGAAACATTTTTTTAAACAGCAAAATAGGCTAGAGAGATATTCCAGCAGTAGGGGTGCTCGGCTGAGCCAGGTTCAATTCGCAACATCCCAGGTGTAGAGCTTGGGAGGAAGTCCTGAGCATCACCAGATATGGCCCCCAAACCAACCAACCCCCCACGACATGGCCCATGGGAAAGCCATCTGTTGATAGAGTAAAGAACTTTTCTCCACATTGTTTTGGTGGGGGATGAGGAGTGGAGATTGGGTCATATCCGACTGTCCTTGGGATGGGGGTGGAGTCACTCCCGGTGCTGCTGGGGATCAAATGTGGGTGGAAATTGAGTCCTAATTTAGAAGGCAGCACTTTTTACATCTTTCCCATTCAAGACATTCGCCATCTTTTAAGATCAAATTGTGATGCTACCGAATGTGACCTGCCCGCATGACAGAGTCTGGCAAACTCCCCGTGGTGTACCCAATATGCCAAATACCAGTAAGAATGATGGGTCTCATTCTCCTAACTCTCAAAGAGCCTTGAATATGGCATTTTTTTAAAAATCTCAGGGCTAGGGCGAAGGAGACGTTACTGGGGCCTGCTCAAGACAATCGACGAATAACAGGATGGTCGTGATCGTGTGATGCATTAGAAAAGAAAATTCACAGTTCTGTGTACTGAGCTACTTCCACATACCTGACACATACTGACTGCTGGACAGGGAATGTGTCTTTCCATACAGAAAGGGGCTTCGGGAAATCAGATTTTCTGTCAAGGTTCCCTTTGTGGCCTTCCTTCTGTTCAGAATGTCTTTCCTCCAAACAGTCAAATCTGACTTTTTTTGTATTTTGCAAATTTTATGTGTGTGGATCCCCTTTTCCTGCCGCCTGCGTGACACGGGAGCAAGCAGCTGCCATTTGGGTCAGGCAGGTGATAATCTGTAGGTGCTTTTGCACAGAGAGGGCATGTGCTCCAGGGAGCGTGGGCGCAGGAAACAATCTGGCAGCATTTGTCATCATGGAACACGGCTAATCCAGATCAGCCTGACCTCGGCGCCCACAGGACCCAACTCAGTGAAGAGCTTAGTTGTAGTCGAAGTGGCAGAGACCAGATGAATCATATCAAGTGTGACCATTATGGGGCTGAAGATGATTCCTAATTAATCTCTGATCCTCAGAGGTATCACAGCCCCCCAATCTGCGTGCCCATAAAGGAGCCCAGGAAAATACCTAAGTGGCAATTTACCTAATCTTCAGAACGGGGCACAGCGGCTGTCATTCCCACCGCAGAGACAATGCATGCCTCAACAGAGTGGGCTGCAGGGACCATTGCGCCAGTGTGCAAAGGCTGCCATGAGTGGACGCCTGTCAGCGTCCCCTCAGGGAACCGAGACACACGTTCTCCTGGCCTGTCCTCTTGGGTGTTGGAATCTCAATTAAAGCCGACAAAACAGACTTCTGCCAGGAGTCGATTGGCAAATGCTTCGTTGCAGACTTGAAGTCTGAAGGGCAGAGAGCATTTGGTGGTCGTGGGGTTGCCCCCAGAGTCAGAGGAGTTTGAGAACTCACCTCCCTGCACTTCTTCCCAGCAGGCATGTCCAGGCACCCCGCGGCTCCGGAGATCCCCACCTTTTACCCCCTGTCTCCGGGTGGCGTCGGACAGATCACCCCACCACTTGGCTGGTAAGACCCTTCCTATTTTGAATACACACTCTACTTCGTAGAATTAGCTTTATGAATGCTGACACTTGTGGAGCTGGCAGAAGATTCACATCAACACGCAAGGTGCTAACTTTATTTCATTCCCACTTAAAAGATTATAAAACCTACAGACTTTGAAATGGATTGAATGAGTCCGCTGATAAGTGTAGAAAATGACACTGTAGCATTTGCTCGGAAGCCTACAGCCTTAGGATTCAGTTTGTGGCTTGGGGTCTCTGCTCAGCTCACGGTGCCTGAGCTGTGGTTTTCTAGTTCCTTCTGAACTTAGAAGACCTTTTCAAGTCATAAACTTAGATATACTGAATATCTGTCTTTGCTTTATAATTGGACACGTGAGGCACATGCTAACTAGAAACCAGTTCGTTGAATGCACCTTTAATGTTTAAAGTCACCAGCATGGGCTCAGAAATAGAAAAGCTGATGTGGGGATGGGAGAGTGAAGAATGAAGAATTTTTTCCCCCTCAGAGCCCAAATGCTATTTTGTTAATTGGTTTCATTATAAAGCTAAGGGAAAGAAAGTGGGTAAGACATTTCATTTCCCATTCTTCTTACTATAAGCGGAACCTACCAAATTTCCACTCACCTCCTATCCGCAGGTGGGTTCCCCTCCCCTCTTCCGGCTCCCTCACTGCCCTTTGGCACAGCCTGACCCTCTCTGGACACCTGGACATGCAGTGTCTCCCCTCATCCCCCAACTGAGTTGAGTCTGACTGGCCTCTTTTGAGCCCCTCTGGGTCAGGGAAAGGTGGGCCCGTGGGGGGGGGGCAGTAGGTTGTTTGGGGGGACGCTCTCAACTGCCACAGGCCTGGGACTGAGGGAAGTGGAATGTTTTGAAACTCTTTGTTCTTTTTCTTGTTTCTGTTTAGCTTTTGGGTCACACCCAGCTGTGTTCCTGGTGGGTTTGGGGGAACCATATGGGGTACCAGGAATTGAGCCTGGGTTGACCATGTGCACAGCAGCCCTGTTCCTCCATATAAATGTATATCTCCATCTTTCCTTCCCTGAAAAAGCTCAAACATTCTGGTTAAAGATCCAGGCCGCTATCTCCCCATCTCAGAGGTCCCTTCGACTCAATGAAATCTTGACTTTGGGGTGGGGAGAGGCAAGTCCGGATGTGGCTCTCTTTCAAATTCAGGATGTTTTTTGGCGGGGAGGGGGGGTTTCTGGATAATTCCTGCCTTCCTCTGTCCCCTCGCGTTCCCACGCCCAGCCCCACTGCTGGTTGGTAACTAGTGTTGTCATTGATGGGTTCCTTTCTTCTGTGACCTCAGGCAAGGTCAGCCTGTCTATCCCATCTCGGGAGGATTCAGGCAGCCCTACCCATCCTCCCTGTCCGTGGACACCTCCATGTCCAGGTAGGTGGGGGTGCAGGGCCCGCTGCCCAGCCGCTCGCATCTGTGCCTCTGCTTGCCTGGGGTCGCAGGAGGGTGCGGGCCGCCTCGCGCTGTCTTCCCCGTGCCTGCTGCCACACTGGGTGTCCCGCATCCCCGAGCCTCTCCCACTGTGCCGCCTGCCAGATGCACAGGAGAGGGTGCCAGGGTGGCACTGGGGGTGGGGGCGGGAGCCGGGGGTGGGGATGAGGGGGAGAGGGGGCCCCGTCCCCCGGCTGCAGCCACATGGGGCGTGTACTAGTGTGGGACTCGGCCCTCTGTGGACTTGTCGTACTGGTGGCCCGGAGCCCCGTGCCCGCTGTGTGATGCTTTTGCTTTGGTGCCCTCTGATGCCTCTGCACACCTTCGGCTTGTCTTAGGAGCCGGGGGCTCTGTGATGGCCTCGGGGGCTTCACTTTTTCTCTGGGGCTGAAATTCACAGCTACCCTCAGGGTGGTGAATTTCCGTGTTCTCTCAAAAATCCTTCTTTGTTTAGCACTATGGCAATTTCTCTGGATGGTGGGGGGGGGGGTCCAGTTCGTATCCTCATCCCCACCCCCAATATACTTTTACTCTTATCATCCTAAGAATAAATCAACCGGAGTATTTTCTCACAGGCGGGGGGGCGGGGGTGGGAGGGAGAGAATAAGCATCCTGTAGTTTTACAAACCATTCATTTAGCAAAGCAGTGTGGCTTTTGCAAACATTTGTATTTTTAACATGTCCTGAAATATTCTGGATCCAGGCAGAATTTCTTCTTCCCAGATGGAGGGATTAGTTTTACAGGCTGTGAGGAGAGGACCCGGAGTGTTGTTGAAATAAACGTTTAATAAGTGTTTAGAAAGCAGAGATTTCTGAGACATGTCCCAGTCTGTCCGAAGCACAGTGCAAAGTATGGCTCGTCTGTTTTTTCTTGCATGGCACTTTCCGTCCCCTGCTGGACAGATAGTGGTGACTTCTGACGGCTTTACGATCTGTCACCAGCATCCTCTGGGTGAAGGCTGGGAGGCACCCAGCCCGTGCTGGAGGGCCGTCCTCGCTTGAATTAAATCTCTGCTCGCCGCTTCACTGGTCTTCAGAACCGGCTCTCTGGAGCTTTACTTTCTCTCTATGAAGCTCACCACCTGGGATGATAATATGGGTGGCCTTGTTACGTAGGGTGGGGGCTCTTGCCGTTCATGTTCCTAGAGGCCAGCCGCCGGGGACAAGTCGAATGTGCTGTCCTGCTTAGGAATGTGGCAGCCTCAAGTTCCAACTTAATATCATGGTAGACGTCTAAGAGTTGTCTTTTTTGCAAAAGTTTGGAAACTGCTCTGCACGAAAAGTGACTTCGCCCCTTAATCCTATAGCCTGAGGCCTCCCAGGAGAAATGCCAGTTTGTGATAGGAGGGATAGTCCCGACTCTGCTCCCCCTGAATGCAGAAGGCTCCCCACTCTGGGGGCCCGGGGGTGTCCACCGTCCAGCCGCAGCCCCCACTGCCGCATGTCTCTGCACTCTGCTCTCTGCAGGTTTTCCCACCACATGATCCCCGGCCCGCCTGGTCCCCACACGACTGGCATTCCTCACCCGGCTATTGTAACACCTCAGGTCAAACAGGAGCACCCCCACACCGACAGCGACCTAATGCACGTGTGAGTACGATGGCCCGCTGCCACCCCAGGGATGGAGGGAGACGCGCCAGCACAGGCGTTAAGTCTTGCCTTAGGCCCTCAGGTTTTGGTGGATTGGGTCCCTTGTGAGGTGGGTGAAGGAGATTGTTCCAGAATGTGGGTACCCCGCTCGCCCAGGGCCTCTGTGGTCCTGCGCCAGCAGCGGTGCCCCCGGAAGAGATTAGCCAGTGAGTTTCTGAAGTCGGGGGGCATCAGGGAGCACATGATAGTCCATAAAGCGCCCCAGATGCAGGCAAAGCTGATACATGTGCATGGAGGAACCTGAAGTTCCATGGGTCTCAAGTATCCCCAAACCAAGACCTCTGGTTCTGAGCGAGGAGTCACTGTGAGCTGTCACTGAGCCCCTGCTGTGGCCCAGAGCTCTGCAGCTGCAGGGGACTGATCTCGGACCAAAGCACCACCCAGCACGGGGCCGTGGGCTGCACTGGTGGTTCTGGGACGCTGCGGAACGTGGGTGAGGAGTGTGTGATCGGGCGCTCTGCTTCCCCACACCTTTTAGGAAGCCTCAGCACGAACAGAGGAAGGAGCAGGAGCCCAAGAGACCTCACATTAAGAAGCCTCTGAATGCTTTTATGTTATACATGAAAGAGATGAGGGCAAACGTTGTCGCCGAGTGCACGCTCAAGGAGAGCGCGGCCATCAACCAGATCCTGGGCAGAAGGGTAAGTGGGGGTGCTGGATGCTCTCGGGAACCTGCTGTTTCCTGCAGTGCAAGTGATCTAGGAAGGCACCCACATACACGCACACCTCCCCAGACCCAAAAGGGACAGGGGGCACAAGACAGCCACGGGGGTTAAGTGATCTGATGCATTGGAAGCCACCTAAACACCACTCTGCCAGCTGGCTTCTATTTTCTGGTTAGCATTTCTCACCGATTATTTATTAAGTACAATGTGCCAGGCACCTTGACCGGCACCACTGAATACACCTCCTGGTCCCTTCATGGGACTTAAGAGTTTTGTGACAGGGAACACATATTGACAAATCAGCGTCCAGCTCTGATCAGGCTGTAGTGGAAGAAGCCCGATTAGGAGCACCTGAGGAGTGGGCCGTGCGTGTGTGCAGGTAGGCCGCAGAGAGGGAGGCGTCAGCCACACTTGGGGGGTGAGCCCTGGCAAACATCATTGTCACACTTGCCCAAAGCCCATCTGTTCTGTGCAGCAGGGGCCAGAAGGTGCCTAGAATATATTGCTCCCCATCATCCTTGGTTTCCGGCTGAGGTGCAACTGACCCACAATGCTCCTCGCTTTCAGGGGTACAACATAACCAGTCAGCAACCATGCATTGCGCTAAGTGATTGAGTCCACTTCAGGCTTCTTCCTCCGTTTCTGTACCTAGTAACCCAAGTTTTCCTTTGAGAACTCCTCAGTTCTGCTCTTGGCCACTCTGATTTCACTCTGCATCTCGGCGACCCCAGGCCTCTGCTGCTGCTGTCAGATCTGGCACCGGTTCTCTGGATTTTTCTTTACACCCGCTCGCGTGGTGGGACTTTGCAGAGTGCCTGCTGTATGCCGCAGGTGGACATTGGGAATTTTTTTTGCTAATTCACATCTTCACTGCAATTGTAATTTTAGAAATGCGTTTGTCTTAATTGGTTGAAACTGTATGTGGCGGCAGCTTATATTGTGACTCGGGCATTTCTTTTCACAGTGCCTCAAGCAGTGATTTGAAAATATATGTTCTGGTGAGGAGGGTCTTTGTGAAGTGGAAAGGTCCTATTGAAGCTGTGGGTCATTTTCCCACACCAACTGCGTACCTGAGGCTTCTCGGCATTCGAAACAGATTCCCAAGAAGGAGGAAGGCATGTTGCCTTCTGTGTGGCGGGTTCTTGTCGAACTGCATAAAAATGTGGCTCTCCCGTCTGTAGGACGCAGGGTCGGGTGCTCTTGCTCCATCTTCCTGGGGATTTTTAAATACTCATGACGCAGTTCCCATCATGTCTGAAGAACTCCCCCTTGGAAGCTTAAGGGCCGAAGAGCGTTTCCTGACCTTTAATAGAAGAAACCACAGACAGTAGGGATTGATGTTCTGATTCCAGCATGTGTGGAAACTCTGTAGGTTTTTACCCCCCTTTCTCTCTTGAAGTGACAGTTCCCTGGCCCTCTAGTGGGAATTTTCCTCATCAGGAGAGTAGCTGTAACAGAGGTTCACTTTCTGTCTTGAGTGCACACCCCCAACAATTGCTACTTTCTCAGCTTCCTTGACAATCCCAGATCACAGCGTGTGTCCTGAGGGATGGTTCTCATTTGGGTCTCTCTGGCTTTGATTTGGACACCTGTTTCTATTTATAGTCTCCGAAGGCTTTGATTAAGATCAGGTTTTCTGTCCTTCCTGAAAGCTTTCCTCTGGCAAGCTAGTTCTTGTTCTTTTAAAGCTCCTGGTTTTAAAAATCATGAAATTTTATACTGGGATCAATGGAATCCGTAAAAGTTAGAACTTAAATCCATCCTGGATTTTTAAGTCAATGATTTTTCTCTTTATTGAAGTCATGTCATATTTCGGTCCCTTCCCCTCTCTGTTCTCCACTTGCCTTTCTCTCAAGCTTGCACCTTATGCGGTCCCACTAACCAGTTTGACTGTATCAACCCAGGTATATCCTGGAATAGTTTATCTTTTGATTTTCATTCATTTTTGCTTTATCACTAAAATATATGTGTGTTCATGTGAATTAACTAGTTTTCCCATATATAGATTTTGTTTGGGAGTCACATCCCAAACACCAGTAGTCCTCAGAGTTTACTCTTGGCTCTGCACTCACGGATCGAACCCGGGTCGGCAGCATGCAAGGCAAGTGCCTTACCCACTGTACAATCGTTCTGCCCTCCCACCCCCCAGTTTTGGTATTTTTAGTTTTCTTTTTGGGGCTGCAAATGGTGTTGGGGGGGGCAACCCAGTCTCGTGTACAAAGTTTGGCCCCCTGAACTAGCTCCCCAACCAAGCTTTTACCTTTTTAGACGTTTCTGGGTTCTTAGAGGACCTTTAAGTCTATGTGTGGTCACTCTTTTTTAATGGTTCAAAGTATATGAGTTCCTTCAAATTACATGGTATTTTTCCAGCCCTTTGGTAAAACCTTTATTCCAGTTCCTTGGTAAAACCTTAACAATAAAATGTGATTTAAAAAAACACCCGAAATGTTACTTTTAGAGCCAAAGTGCTTGCCTGGCACTCAGCCACCCCTGGTCCAGTCACCAGCATCCCAGGTGTTCCCCTCCAGGTTGGAAGGGAAAGGAAGCTTCTTGGTCAAGACCATCACTTGCTTTTACTGGGAGAATTTGCGAATTGGAAATCTCAGAGAAGTGAAAACTAGTTGGAGATACACACTAGCTGTTTAGTTTGTGACCTGCCTTTTCTCTGTGTTTTGCTCAGTGTTGTTAACTGGGATCCTTCTGTCAGCCTGGATTTTCTCCTCTAGCTGACAAATGCTATTGTCTCTTTGGTGATATTTAGAAAGGCAGAACACACAACTTCGTCTCTCTTGCTGGAGATGAGTTCTGCTTAATATTTGAGGTGTTCCCAGCAAGCTGTCTTATGCTGCCTTAAGTTCTGATGAATTGCAGATTACTTGTCAAGTCAGACTTATGCCCCCTTTCAATGTTTTTCCCCTTTGGGCACCCTTAGCTCCAGAAGTGAGTTAATATTAACTTCATGTACTTTCACAAAAAAAGTGGAGACTGATTTTCTGTCTGGTCTGGCTTCTTCCCCATAAATGGGAGAGAGGTGGGACTTTGGGGATGTCTCCTCTGCTCCCTGGCACAGCCTGGCAGATTCCTGATATCCTAAGGCCTAGAGGGACTTCCATGGAGCAGGGAGACCCTGTGGGAAAAGACAATTATCTGGTAATTATCACACTCTGCAGATGATAAAAAGGGCTAAGTAGGGTTTAAAATTCCCAGGAAAAGTTCTTTTTCATTTTTATTGGACAGAAATCACTTTGCTTGAGAGGCTTTGACTGAGGCATTTCTCATATCTTCAAGGGGAATTGTTTTGTTTTGATATTTTCAAGAGTAATTCGCCATGAAATGACAGTTATTCACAATTGGGTTTCGGGCATACATTGTTTTAGCAATACCCCCACTCCCTCCACCAGTCTGCCTCCACGAGGGCCACTTTTAAACATCTGACCCTTCAGCACCATTCAGCACCACCCCTCCTCGGCCTCCTCCTTGGGTGGGCAGGTCTCCTTATATTCCAGTGTATCTGCGTCTGAGTACCTTCACTCAGCAGGAAACACGCCAGCTCTTGGAGGGAAAGTGTATTTCTGCAGCACTGGATCTCCTGAAATTTCAAAGTAGCTCTGCTTAAATGCTTGATGTGTTGCTCTTCAGTGCCTGAAACCTGAACTGCACTCACTGTGATGTTTCCCTTTCTCCCCATTGCAGTGGCATGCTCTGTCCCGTGAAGAGCAGGCTAAATACTATGAACTGGCACGGAAGGAAAGACAGCTCCATATGCAGCTTTACCCTGGCTGGTCTGCGAGAGACAATTATGTAAGTCCCCACGTCATCAGGAAGACACGTTCAGAGTTTGCTATCACTTGTTGAATGTAATGCACATGGGGTGGGGGGCATACCTGTCTGTGCTCAGGCGACTGAACGTGGGTGACTGCCTGCAGATGCCCTACCAGCTGTACTATCTCACCAGGCTGTGCCTTTAAAAAGATTGCATGCATATATTATAATTCTGAAATCTTTAAGATGGGAAATGGGGGGAGGGGTACTGATGTTGGGTCATACCCTGAGGTATGGGCTATTCCTGGCTCTGTGCTGAGGACTGACAGTAACCTTACCCCAGATGGTATCATGGATTCTAACCTGCTAGCAAGTGCTCTACCCCCATAATATTTTCTGGTCCTAATGCCACCCTATTTAATTATTCTTAAGGTTCTTGCCTTGCATGCAGCTAATGCCCAACATCACTTATGGTCCCCTGAGCACCAGTTGGTCTGTGCCCCCGGCACAAAAGCATAATCTCATGATAGTAATGCAGTGAGCGTCCCTCTGGATTCCGGAAATCTCAGTACTGAACACCATAGCCCAGGCCTTTCCTTAGACAGACCTGGGATAAAGCACAGATAGGCAACAAGAGTAAAAGTTATGTGAATGGACTTTCTCAAATAGTTTTGGGATCACCATTGACCACAGGGAACTGAAATCGCAGAGAAGAAGGGAATCTCTCCAAACCAGTTTTGTTCCCTGTCACTTCTTTCCGGGAACCTGGTGTCCTATTGCTTGTTCTTTTTATATACAGCAGGCACTTTCCGTTAGGATGTTTCAATAAGTAATGTTAGTTTACTGTTCGCAGACATTTAACAGTTGGGAATAATTTTGCAATCAATATATGTGTGTAACAGGTTTTCCCTGTATGTGGGACTTCTATTTCCGTAGAACAGAGTGAAAACTGTTGAAGGATAGTTCAGACTAACATCCGTATTGACAACCTGTTTCCCAAAGGACATATTGCAGTTCTGGTCCTGTACTCACGGAGTGCTCTCCAGACTCTCGTTCCCTACGGAGCTGCCTCCCTACAGCAGAAACAGTTTGAGCATGTATATATTTGAGGTCTTGTGCTCAGGGGACCCTATATGGTGCTTGTTCTGGGGCTCAGAGTGGGTCAGCTGCACACAAGGCAAATGCCTTGAACCCCGCACTCAATCTACAGAAAATTTAGATTTTCCGGTGTAGACACTGGCCCTCTCTGAAGGGGAAGGGAGGATCCCATTGCCTGCCTGCGACCCCCTGTGGAAGGTGTGGTGGGTGAAGCCTGCACCCTGTCCTTCAGGAGGAATGAGCCCACCTCACTCTGAACAGTGCTTCCGCTTCCCTTTATGGAGGAAGATCAGTCTCCCCCACAGGGGTGCAGATGTGTCGCCTAGGTTTCTCTCTGAAAGATAGAACGGAAGGGGGCTGGGTAGGTGATCAGCAGCCCCGCACCCATCCTGCAAATCTACTCTCCATCCCTCCTCTGCTGCTCTCCTTTGGAACATGGAGAAATGGGAAGAAAGGTGGGAAATTGGCCTTTAAAGATTTTTGCTTGTGTGATTTTTTTTTTTTTTGGTGGTACCAAGAGGTGGGGCCAGAGTGATAGCATAGCAGGTAGGGCGTTTGCCTTGCGTGCGGCCGACCTGGGTTCAATTCCTCCGCCCCTCTCGGAGAGCCCGGCAAGCTACTGAGAGTATTCTGCCCGCAAAGCAGTCTGGCAAGCTACCCATGGCATACTTGATATGCCAAAAACAGTAACAAGTCTCATAATGGAGACGTTACTGGTGCCCGCTCGAGCAAATCAACGAACAACGGGAGGACAGTGTTACAGTGCTACCAAGAGGTGAAAGGTGCTCCACCACTGTAAATGGGATTTAAATCTTTTAAGTTTTGTGATCAAGCTGGGCCTGAGACCCATCTGCTTTAGGAAGCAGAGTTCTTTGTCAGAAATAAGTCCTTGAGTGGAGGAACCCTCTCCAGGATTTCCTTCTGTGCAGCAGTGTTGAGGACAGGGAAGGGGAAGAACAGCAGTAGCGAGTGGCTGTTTTCTCTTGTTGCTGATGGTTGCCTCTCTTCCTCCAGGGGAAGAAGAAGAAGAGGAAGAGAGAGAAGTTGCAGGAATCCACATCAGGTAGGCACCGCCTGGCAGCCCAGCCACCCCACGCTCTGAGCCTCTTTCCATGCACTGATGCTCCGAGCTGCGGTTCCCTAACTCTGCTTCCTTTCCAGTGGGGCTGTGCAAGCGCGTCTCCACTCCTCTCCCCCCTGTCACCTGGAGTCCCAGTTGAGCTGTGGTTTGTTCTGCTTCTGTGTTCCTCCTTTCTCCCTCTCGCTCCCGCTGTTCTCCGTACACACGTCCTTCGGATAAGCCTGCCATATGCTACTGGGTTGCCCCAGAGACTTTCTGTGATTTTAAACTCTAAGACCAACAAGGGTGGACCTTCCCGTCCATTAGAGTCCAGGTGTCTCTCGGCAGTTCCCGCTGATTTGCCCTGTGTCTTTCACGGAAACAGTAAAACCACTCTTGGTGCCACACAGTGAGCCAGCTGGCATGAGAGCCACTAAAGAGACCCTCCTGATGTTGTTACTACTACATTTTTGGAATGTACGAAAGCCTCGTCAATAACAAAATTGTTAAAGACACAATTTTCTGCAGGTACAGGTCCCAGAATGACAGCTGCCTACATCTGAAACATGGTAAGAACCACGCCCGGCCGCCCGCTCTTGCTGCCCCCACTCAGCACTGCTCCTGAAAGAGGGAGACAACACCCACCCCCAGCCCAGGCTTTTCAAACTGACGCTGTGTCTAGCAACTCTTAGCACCTGCCTGCCCAGAGGAGTGGCAAGCCTGTCTGCTTCCAAAAGGACCAGGGCTGGAGAGACATGCAGCGGTTAAGATGGCTGCATGTGACTTAACCCTGATTCGAATCTCAGCACTGCATCTGCTCCCCTGAGCACTGTCCCACTCGTGGGCCACACCTAAAGATAACAGAACCACAGAACATCATTGTACTTCATAACCCAGGAGGAGCCTGGGTCTCAGAAGCTTTAGCTACTCAGAAAGTTTTTCCTTAGTTGAGGTGATAGGTGGGTATTACTGAAAGGAGGACACTTACATGACAGACAATCATGCCTCAAGTGGCACCCACAGCAGCTCAAGGAACCGGCCTTCAAAGTGCTGGATTCCTTGGGAGGATTTTTCCCTTTGATGCTGCTCTGTCCGCAGCCTTCCATTCCCCTCGCATTCCCCCAGATATGCTTTCTGCTTCCTCACTGCTGCCAGAGGCCCTTCTCACATACAGAGTGACTGAGCTCAGCATCCCCAAGTCCACAGACACACCATCCAGTCACCTGGCCCTGACTACACCCAAGTGACCCTAACTTTAGTGCTGACAATCCACGGAGTGGCCATGTGAGAATTCCCAGTCATCTGTGTGCCTGAACAATCCAGTTTAATCTTCCTTTCCTGGGAGGTGGGAGTAACCGCACCCCCCAACCATGATTAACACTCCCCAGGTTTTCCAAAGTCTTAACTGCCACGCAGCTGGCTTTTCTACATGAAAAGAGAACCAGCCCTTCACATAGCAGCCAAAATAGGTATCTGAAAGCCCTGCATTGCCAACTGGTACCAGCATCACATTTGTGGCAAGAACCAAGTACTCTTGTTCTTGGGACCCCAGAGATGGCTTGTTTAGGCCCTGGTGTTTAGGCCCTGAAGTCAGAGTGCCAGAGTCCTCAACAAGTACTTCTGTGGGGCTGTTTGTTTTTAAAAATGAACAAGCAAGGAAAGGATAACACTTTAGTGCCTTAAAGATCCCTAATGTAGATTCACTGCAACTTCTGTTTGCACCCAAACCTTCACTGCTATTTCTAGTAAAAAATCATTGCACAAATTTCTGTACATTGGAGTTGGTCCTTAATGGATACGATTATCCTATTAATACATACCCCACACATCTTTTTTCTTAAAGTCAGGGCTATTAATGTGCTTTGCCACTTTTTCTAAAGTAAGTGGCTCCCTATTTCAGAAAGACAAAGTTGCGGGCAACCCCCCACCTGTTCTTGCGCAGTAACTTAAGGGTTTAACTTGACCCCTAAAAGAGCACTGAGCACACAGCACCTCTAGGAGATTGCACACACCGGTGTCCTTTGTTGGGTCTGCAAATGTCAAGTGAGGAGCAGGCCAGTAAAACAGCAGCGGGGGAATTCTATACCTTCTTGCAGAATCTAGATATGGAGAAGAGTAACTAAAATGCAGAGAGGCAATGAAGACTTCCTGGAAGAGGCAGCACTTCTGAGCTGCCCAAACATAAGGAAATTCTTGGGTTTGGTAGAAAAGAGGTGGGGAACAGACACAAAGTTCAGCACTTGGGAAAATGTCTTACTTTGGATACGTACTATGGTTCAAATACCAAACTTCTTAATGAAGATAGTGAGAAATTAAGAAGCAGAGAACTAGGGATTTTGGGTAGCTGGGAAGAACATTTATTCCAGACTGGTTATACCAGTTGGTTTCTGGATAGTCACACTCACTCTTAAAAGCTTTAAAAAGTCTACTGTGAGAGATAGCTAAAGGTGACCTTGGATAGTCCCCATATCTCCGGACTGTAACGTCGGAGAGCTAGTTTTAAAGTAGAAACAAGCTAAATTAAAACTAAAACACAAACCACCATTCCTTGGGCTCAGTGCACAGGTGAACATAGAGAAAAAAACAGACACCATGTTCACACAGTCTGTTTTCAGTTAGCTTTTTTTCCTGGAGTTGAACCCCACACAGGCATTTTATCCGTCCATCTGAGCTACAGCTCCTCCCCTGGGACTAAGTTTTACCTGGACCACTTGCTACCCTGAGAAGCACATGCTTCTTACATAAAGCATACTCCTTGGGGCTAGAGAGACAGTATAGTGGGCAGGCTGGCTCAGTCTCAACACTGCATACAGTTTCCTGTGCCCCACCAGTGATCCCTGAGCACAGAGTCTGGTGTAAATCCTGAGCACCGCCAGATATGGCACCCAAACCAAAAACCATAAGCCTTCATTTACCTGGGCAGAGGAGATATTGTAGGAAAGGCTGGTTCTAGTGTAGTAACTAAAATGTGTGTTGTGCTGGGTGCAAGTATTTAATGAACAGCCCTAGGAGCCAGGGTAGAGCATGTGCCTTATGTTAAGAAGGCCCGGGTTTGGACTCTGGTACTGTTCCCCCGAACCCTCACCCCCGCAAAAATAAAAGAAACAACAACCAAAACCAAAAAAATATACACATTGCTGGCTCAGAGCTCAGGATCATTCCTAACAGGGCTTGGGGGACCCTATGAGGTGCCATGCATTGAACATGGGTTCGCCCTGAGCAAGGCAAGCGCCTTCCCCCTGCATCACCTCTGCAGCCCCCTGGGTCCCTCTCGTGGTCCCTGAGCGCCAGGTGGCCCGCAAGCCTTACCCCTGGATGCCTAGCTGTCATGCAGGGCTATGCTCTCCAGGAGGGCATGTCTGTGACCCTGGTAGCTGCAATTCTTCGCCTCGGATGAAAACATGGATCTCCTGTTCTTTCTGATGGGTCTGACAGTTTGCCTCCTCATACTCTGAACCCCGACCCACCAGAACCGGGATGTTAAGTCTGGGTACCTGCTCCAGGCTGGCACATCAGGCTGGGCACACAGCAGGAGAGCTAGAGGGATCTTGAGATGGGCCGGGTTTCGGAGTCACCGATGTCCCCGCGGCTACAGCAGCAGGGTGACTGATTCCCCAGCCCGTGCCCTCGTGGGCCCAGCAGTGGGCACCGCTTGTCTGCCTGGAAGGAAAGGGGCATGGGAGCCGGCAGCACCTTCCCTGACACAGCCTGCCTGGGTGGGGACCTCCATCCTGTTCCCAAAGCAGTGACACCGGGGTGCAGTGTTACCTGCCCTCAGCGAGAGCTTGGGTAATGATCAGGCTCGGAGCTACCACGCTAGCAAGAGACTAGAGACAAGTCCTCTCAAGACCCTCGCAGGCAGGCCAGAAGGGACAGAGGTGACTGGGGACCCGCGGAATGCTTCTCTTTCCTCTCAGTACCTTCTGTAGTCCTGCAGGAGTTAGCCCTGAGCAGTGCTGGGTGTCACCCCAAAACAGAAAAAGGCCCTGAATTGCAGTCGGCTTGGAATAAAAAGTGGTTGGGGATTAATTCTGGGGACGGCATGCTTCCGTTTGAGCCCTCTGGACTCAGTGTTCCTCCCACTGTCAGAAGAGACCTCTTAAAACCAGAAGTCTGCTAGCTATTATACTGTCTGCGGCCACACATCCAGTATTGACCCAGGCTGCCAGGTCCTGGTGCTGTGGCTGAACCCAGGTCTTGCTGAGGCCAGCAACCCACTCCATCCCTTTCCACCTGGAACTGTCCCCACCCTTCTACCCTGGTCTATGGCTCTGGGACTTACTGGGGACCGTGCAAATGAAAAGTAGATAAGGTCTGAGTTGAGGTGGAGAGCACTCTGTGTGGAGGATCAAATCTGGGCCTCCCACATGCGGAGCAGATGCTGGTCGTGAGATTCGTGACCCCACTCTGCTGTTTCCCTGTTCTTTGGGTGCAATGCTATGGCCGCAGGCCGTTCATGAGTGAGGTGCTGGCTCGAACCTGTACATACGGGGGCCAGTGTGATAGTCCAGCAGTTAGATCTTGTCTTTTGTGTGGCTGACCTGGGCTTGATCTCCAGCATTCCATACAGTTCCTTGAGCAAAGCCAGGAATTATCCTTGAGCACAGAACCAGGAGTAACCCGAAGCATCACAGGGTGTGGCCCCAAAACAAAAACACAGCGCACAGTGCAGCCACAGCAGGGGCCCCCACCTTTTTACAGACTGAGGGCACTTCACTGGGACAACTTCTCCCTTGTTTTGATTGTAAATTCCATCTAACCTGCAATGTTCTAAATTTTTACTTACATTTTCCATGAATACAAGAAAAATCTCCCCTCATCTACCATTTGTTTTTTAAGATTCTGATTTTCTGGCAGCACAGTCTTTTAGTCTTTCCCTTGCACCAGAAATTCTAGAATAGAACTCACTTCTTTTTCCCCTTTTAGGAATCTTCCTGTGAACATGAACGGGGTGGGACATGGTGTGGACCTCATGTCTCCTGGGTGTCCCTCCCCTGCTATGGGCTCTGTCAGGGGAAGGAAGCATCAGCTACGCCAGGGCTACCTGGCTAGACAGTACAGCCAATTCAGGTTCAAGCGAGGCCATCTTTTGAGGACACAAACATCCATGGCACCCCTTGTGAGACCAAGGGTGCTCTCTGCTGAGCCTACCCATGCCTTGCTCACAACTGCTCACCCAGGACAGGAAGCAACATTCGTTATAATCTGCCTAATAGAATGCAGACGGCACAGAGGCAGCAGCGAGTTCGCCCAGGCTTTGGCCCTCACCACACCAGCCCTCACTCTCACAGACACGTGCACAGGCCTTTGCTCTGCGCTGTGGAAAACATGAATGCGGTCGTGGATCTCTGTGCTTGTCCTCCTTCATAGAGTTCAAAGGGATTTGGGGGGTTTCCCACTGAAAGCTGTCATGAGGATCTACTTCTCCATGGGACAAGTGTCCTCAGAAGAGACACGGCAGGCTGGTGAGGAGAAGCCACAGGGGGACCCAACCCTTTGCCCCTCATGGTTGAAGCACCCGCCCTCAGCTGGGGCTAAACCAGCTGCCCCGCACTGCTGCCTCTCCGACCCACCAGGCAGGCCCCCTGGGATGGCCACGTGTGCCATCTCTGGTCTCAGCACTTCGCCATGCTGCGGGCCTCAGGGGAGACAAAGTGCCAAAAGGTTTCTCCAGTGTCCCCAGCACCTGGTTCCAATAGGAGGCCTGTGCGGGGGTGCGGACGGGACATGGGTGCTGTGGCAGAGAGACAGAAGGCAGGCAGCAGAAAAGGATTGGGGCCTGTGGGAGGGGACATGTGGGTGGCCTGCACCGCGAGCTTCAGGAGCATCTGTGTCCCTCTCACCTCCTCTGGAAGTCTGCCCTGGTCTATGGCTCTGGGACTTACTGGGGACCATGCACACCCAGCCTTGTGCAGGGGGAACCAGGGGGCCCTGAGACAACAGGCCTGTGCAGGCCTGAGGGAGTAGTTCTAGCCCAGAACCTGTCCAGCCCTTCCTCTCACACTTCACTCCTCCACTAATGAGCACCGAGTTCCTGCCCTCAGGACTCCGGGCAAGTGTGCACACCCTGGCAACTATGGCCCCTGGCCCCCTCCACCTCCGTTCCGCCAGCTTCCAGGCCCGGGGAACCCTGGGAATACGGCCCCCACGACGCCCTGCAGCACAGCCTCTGCCCTGTTCCCTTCCTACCTCTTCCCCACCCACAGGTCTGCTCACAGCCCTCAGCATCCGAGCATGCTCTTTGCCTTTTCACCGTTTTTTGATTCTACATGTAAGCGGTCATACTGTCTCTTTTCGACGTTTCATTTAGGACAAAGCCTTCAGGGTCCATCCGTTTGGGCACAAATAACAAGATGTACATTTGTGCGGCTGAATAATATTCTGCTGTATGTACGTACTGTGTGTGGGTATATATAACATGTTCTGAAGTGCCAGGATCAAGCCCAGGGCCTCACTGGCACTCACCAGCACTCTGAGCCAGGTCCCTTACTGTTTATCTTGGCTGGCACTTACGTTATTTCCAGTCTTGGGCCTTTTGTCTAATGCTAGAGAGAACCTAGTTTTGTTTTCTCCACCCAAATACCAGAAGTGAACTTGTGACATCACAAGGCAGTTCTACTTTTATTTTCTGGGGAGCCTCCACACAGTTTTCTATCAAAGCTGCACACTGCCACCACCTGACCAGGCACCCCTTGCTCTATCCTGGAGGGAAGTACACTGGGCCCAGTTTGCAGCCCCCCATCACCTTTGAGACCCGCCATTCCTTGGGAGTGCTACCTCATCGTGGTTTTGACTTACATTTGTGATCTGCGAGGGCAGCCACCTTTTCTTTACTAATTTGGCCTTCAGATGTCTAATCTGTAAAAATTTCTAATTAGATCTTCTGTCCTTTTTTTTTTTCGTCTTTTTTTCCTTGTCTGTTTTAAAATTTCTTTTTGTTCTTGCTCTTGACCTATACGAGTTCTTTGAATGTACTGCGCATTATTCCCTTTCAGATATAATTTACAATATTTTGCTTTGGTTCTGTAGGCGCTTTTTTTGGGGGGGGGGCTGTGTACAGGATTTTTAGTTTGATAAAATCCCACTTGTTTATTTTTGGTATTGATCTGATCTGATATGTTTGAGCTGATGTGAGAAGGAATTCTATTCTTGAAATCTTCCCTTTATCCTTTGGGCTGGGAATAACTCTGCCCATTTGGGTTCCTGTTACATTTGGTGAATAGCTCTTTTCTCAAGATTGGCATTTGTTCCTGGAGAGCTTCATGGGTTTCAGCTGTATGGGGCGTCTTGTGCCCCTTCAGATCCCCTCCACAGCTGGCCCCACGCGGTGACTCCCAGAGGAGGAGCCCAGCGCCTCCATCTGTGGGAGGGGACCCGCCGGTCTCTTTGAAGGCGGGTAATTGCTGGTTTTGATTGTGCCGCTGCCTTCACGGGTGGGTTAGGCTGCGCTCGGCTTGCCTGGCCTGGCCCAGCCGCAGCCCCCAGTGAAGCGTTAGATGTGGGAAGTCTCCAGTCTCCCGAGCCTCATGCCTGTGGTTTCTTGAAAAGAATCTTGATTTGACCTGTTTTCTATCTGTAAAGCGATGCCGTAAGGCCCATCTCTCCCATTTGGAGGAGGGTCGGTTCACTCCAGATGAGCTAAGGAGCGACAGCGTCAGGCAAACGGCCTTACTCAGCTTTTGCCAATTTGTTTGGATGCTGTTACAATTAGGAGAGCTTGCTGGTGGGAACAAACCACTTCTCCGGGGGTACTTGCTCTCTGAAACCTACTTTTTGGGACTTGTGAAATAATGAGTTGGGTGGCACCCTGGTGAGTTCAAGACAAAGGGCTTCCTAGGTGAGGGGCTTCTCTTTCCAGGAAAGTGGCTGGGCAGCACTGTGGTCATCGGGATCCCAGGGTTGTGGGGGTCTGTTACTCCTGTGGTACCTTGGGCTAACTGGTGATGGGGGCACGAGAGGCAGAGTAGGGACCAGAATGGGGGGGGAGGGGAGGAGGGAGTGTTGGGAGTGGGGTCGGGAAGTGCTGGAACCACAGATCTGAAGGAGCCAGAGCTTGTGGGGAAAGGGGGCCAGTAGGGCTGTCTGTACTGTGTGCCTGTGGGGCACTGGAGCCTCTGGAGGAGGAGTGCACCTCTAAAAGGGGCTGCAGAGCACTGTGCTGGGAGAAAGTCGCTGCCTTCCGCACGCACCTCACAGAAGGGCTGGGCTGCCCAGTTAAGAAGGCAACCTGTTTCACAGGAGAATAGGACCTTGCTGGACCACATCCTCTTGCTGGCTTGTCTTGTTTTGCTTTTGCTGTAGCCTCTTAGAGACACACTTGCTCCCAGTCACCTTGGGAACAGCTCCAGAAGAGCTGCCCACAGGTCACAGGCTGCCAGTACTTTTGGTGCCCCCTAAGTCTGGAGGGAGCCCACCATCCAGTTCCTATTATTAAGTGGTGTCAAAGCATCTTTCAGTGTTTCTTCTCTCATAAAGAAATCCACTATTATTTAGAATTTGTAAAGGAAAAGTGTGCTAGTAACAAAGAGCTTTATCACAGGGGTGTATGTTGGGGGGAGGGGTGGAAGGTCCGCTGAACTGCCAGTGGTCCGGGTGGGTGAGTTTGCGGGATGAGGCTGCAACCAAGGAATGGGACTGAGGATTACACAGTAACAAGAAGTCTCAAAATGGAGACATTACTGGGCCTGCTGGAGCAAATCAATGAACAACGGGAGGACAGTGTTTGTTTGTTTAAGCACTTTTTAAAGCCTCTGAACATTAAGGATTTGGGGATTTGGTTTGGGTCGTTCTCTGCCCCACACCCCCACTTTAAGTCCTAATCATCAATTTCTAACAAGAATTACTTAAAGATACTTGCCAAGTATACATTTCAAGACTAAAATTAGAGATCCTTACTAGGGGAAAGAATATTCTTTAAAAAATCTTCATTCTCTAAGTGCCTGTTTTAATTGAGGTAATACATTTGCATCATTGCATGTGTTTCAGAAGGACAAGGCCACAGCACTCCAAATAGGCCACCACACTCCCCTCAGCCTGTCCTTCCAAGGAAAATGGGAGATGCAGTCATAGGTCCAAGTGGAGAGGCAGGTCATGGAGCTGGGGCATGGGCTGGAGGCACAGGCTCAGCTGCCAGTGTCATGAGGTCCAGACAGACTGGATAACCCCATGGGGTATCTTCTGTGCCGTGGCCTCAGTCCTGGGCCTGTTGGGGGAGCCTTCGGCACTCTGGCTCTTTGCAGAATGGTCAGTCCTGGGTAAAACCATGTCAAGGGCTCCCCACAGTGGGCTAAAAAGACCAGACACTTTTAAAATGAAAATATATGTACCATGTGGAGCCATGGTATAGTGTGTTAGGCCCTGGCCTTATACTTGGCCAAGCCGGGTTTGATTACTGGCTTCAAATACGGTCCTCCAAGCCTGCCAGGAGTGATCCCTGAGCACCAAGCATGGGTGTGGCCCCCAAACAAACAAAAAACAACACACGTGGCTTCAGCCTGCCATTCCTATTCATGTTTGGTCATTTCCCCCTATTCCAGAGTGTAAACTGCATTTCTCATACTTGCTCAGGGGACTAAAAATCATTTCAGCACAGCTCACACTGCCGACGCATCTGAGGCTCAGCAACCCCCACCAGCGCCGGAGGGACCACGCGAGCTCGCCCAAACACAGAGGCCTTCCAACCCGTACCAGGCGCGATAGAGTCCGAAAGGCCCGTGGCAGGTTCCCACTAACGGCATTTCATGTCTTCCTTCCTGAGGTGGGAAACGAAGCTCATTCCCCACGTGCAAAGCCAAGGCGGCGACCCCAGGACCTCTTCTGGAGATGGAAGCTTGTTGAAAGCCCAGCCCGGCTCCGCCGCTTGCCCTGTCAACCCCCAAGGAGAGCTGATGCCAACTTCACCCTGAGGTCACTGCTAGAGACACTGACCATAGAGACAATCACTGCCAACCCCCTTTCCTCCACCACCAGAGCCAAGTGCCCCATAAGACACTTAAGAGTTTTCAGAAGAAACGACAAAGCACAGAGAAGACCAGCGCTCCCCGGCCCGTGATTCCTGTCACCTCTGAGTGACTTGACTCCATTTGCCTGTTGAGAGCAACACCTCCCTGCGGCGGGGGACCCTGCTCTAAGGGTCTCTCCTGTCTGCCTTTTTTCTCTCCCTTCTCTGAAAGCTTTTATTTAACAGTGCAAAAGGATCAACCTTGTGTCTGCTTTTTTTTTAAACTTGAAATTTTTTTTTTAATTTACATTCTTTAGTTTGAATTTTCTTGTATATTTTGCTAGCTCTGAGCTTTTCAGTAAAATGCAGAGATCTGGAAAGGTGTGAAGAGAATCGGAAATGATGGGAAGCCTGTAGGGCACACTGTGGCCCTGCGCAAAGCCGGTGTCCACAGCATGGCAGGAGCTGCTCAGTTGCGGCTCCGAGGAGCAAGAGGCTGAGGGCAGCATTGTCCTGTAGCTTCTCACTCTTCTCACTATCTATTTTAAAATGATAAAACATCACAGATTCTTTCCTCAGACCCATTTGCGGTGAATTTTCAGTTCTTTCTGCCTCACCCCCTTGTTGTAAAAAGCCCAGCACTTGAATTGTTCTTACTTTAAATGTTCTGTATTTGTATCTGTTTTTATTAGCCGATTAGTGGGATTTTATGCCAGTTGTTAAAATGAGCATTGATGTACCCTTAAAAAAAAACCACAAAAAAAACAAGGCACAGCCTTTGCCCCAAACTGTCATCTAACGTTTGTCATTCCAGTTTGAGTTAACGTGCTGAGCATTTTTTAAAAGAAGCTTTGTAATAAAAGATTTTTTTAAAGTCTCTTTTTTTATTAAGAGGGAAGTTGCTGATCATCTGAGTGGCAGGGGTGACCGAGCCAGGCCCTTTGGGGGAGGGGGAGCAGTGATGGGGCAGCCCTCAGTGTACTCATAAGCTCAGGTCCTGAGGGGCACAACAGGGGACACAGCCCAGAGAAAGGAGAAGTCTGCGGAGTGCATGCAGGAGCCACCTTCACAGACGCTGTCCCAGGCTTCCACGGTGGGTCTGAGCCATCTAGGAGTGTCCATGCTCCAGCAGGAAGGAGTCCACTTCCATTCACTCCGCACCTATGAGCTTAGGTTACACTACTGTCTGAAATGGTGTGATTCTGCCAAACCAGTGACTGGTTAAACAGAACACAGCGCTCACGGCCATCATCTCGGAGCAGGCTGGAGAACCACGGGTCTGACACAGGGTTGCAGAGTTCAAACCATGGGCTACAATTCTGGTTCTGTTTCCTTTCTCCAACCTTCAGCACAGCTGGGGAACAGCTGGCTCCCACCCTGGTAATAACCCTCCACAGACTGTACTTGAAGATTGCCATTAAGTCACCCCTCAGATTTCTCTTCTCCAGGCTAAGGAATCCCAATCTGCGAACCTTTCATCATGGCCCTTTAATCATTTTCATTACTATCCTCTGGCACCTTTCCAAGTCCTTCGTTTAGTCCTAAACTTGAACCAGGGCGGGAAAGTCAATCATGTTCAGGGACCTACTATTTAGAAAGGTTCGTGGTCATTTGAAAAATTCTCCCCAAGGTCCCTTAACGTACATGAACCTGGTACCTAACAATGATCTAAAGGCCATCATACTCCAATTACTTGGGGGTTGGGGGTGGGGCAGTTATTGCAAAATGCTGATAGCAGCCTTCCCTTCCACATATCTCAGAAACAAACCAATTTAGTAATAAGGCGGGCCTGGCGGCGGAAAGGCTATGGCACATGCCTTGCATTCTCAAGGGCCCAGACTCATTCCCCACAGCACAGTTAAGGGGAAGGACATGTGGGAGAGAGGAGGGAAGGGTGGAGGCAGACACGAGAGAAGCACACGGACAAGCTGAGAACTGGGCTTGGCCAAAGTTACCCCCTCAGGTTCTCCTGTGTCTCGACTAAAGAGTGAACAGACAAGAGGTGGAGGGAATGGGCTCTCTGCATTCTCTAAGCCAGTGTTGCCCTCCACACACTTGCTCTCTCCCCTTGGCCCTCTGTTTTTTTCTAGAACAACTTTCCCCAGGTAACCTGGACAGGGCAGTGCTCATCCCTGCCCCTCCATAGATGGTGACAGGAAGGAGAGGAGGGATGAGGCTGACACTGCAGCCCTCTGCCCTGTATTGGCATTGCTAGGGCTTAGCCTTGCCTGGCCATCAAGAACATCTTCCTCTTGCTTCCAGCTCTGTTAATAGCTCAGTGGCTGACATAGTCACCACTGTGCAGCATAAGGCTGTGACAACATGGAAACCCCTCAGCCAGGCCTGTAGGAGACATGACCTGTGTGCCTTTCCTTTCAAAAGGGATCAGAGTCACAAGTTATTCCCTAGGTTACCTGTACTTCTGCTGCACGATTCCTTTCATACCTACAAACTGGGGGACCTAAGAGCTTTCTTGTGAAGCACAGGCACAGGCACTCATACGCATATGTACATGCACACAGCTTCCATGTGAGACACATGCATTCATATATGTACATGTGCGCAGTTGCCTTGTGAGACATCAGCACTCATATACATGTGCACAGCTTCCATATGAGAAAATGGCACTCATACACATATGTACATGCACACAGCTACCCTGTGTGATAGACACGTGCACTAATATATATATATGTGTGTGTGTGTGTGTGTGTGTGTACATGTGCCAAGCTGTCCTCTGACAGCCACATGCACTCACATGTATATTTACATGCACACAGATGCCTTGTCAGACACAGGCACTCAGACATATATGTGCAAGTGCATAGCTGCCCCATGAGACAGACACACTCATATGTAAATGCACATGTACCTGCACACATACAAATTTAGACTTAAAAATAGAAGGTGAATAATCTGAGTACAGTCAATCATAATGTTCACATAAAGGTGCACTTCTACATGCTGTTTTAAGCTTTTTCTGGGGAAAATATAATGAGCTTTGCTAAATGATTTTAGAAGTTTGCTATTCTAAACCCCTTCAACTCTGACCCTACATGCTCTTACTCTGGAAGTTTGTGAGGGAGGGAGGCAGGATAGGAAAGGGTTACTTAAGTAGGTACCAGAACACAGCTATCAGAACTTTACACGTAGTAACAAAAATACGTAGTATGGTAGAACTCTAACTTAGAAGAAAGAGGCTGTTGACTTATTGGCCAAGGTTGAAGAAATAATGCCACTGCATCATCAGCAATTCTGGGTATACATGGAAAGACAGCATGAGAAAAGCATTTCCTACACCTAACTACAACCCCTGTATCTTACAGAAGAATATTCTTGAATGAAACTTAATGAGTAAAAAGAATACCTGAACAGAGTCATGAGCAAAGACAATGAGAGAGTAGGACGGGAATGTTCTCTAGGAACTACCTAGCATAATGTTTTTAAAGGCCTAAAATTCAGCTTTCTTTTTTTAAAGAATGTGGTTTAATGGGCTTAATTTAGGCTTTTGGGGGGGGGGGGCGGAGTCATACCCAGCAGTGCTCAGGGAATATTGCTGGCTCTGTACTCAGGAATTGCTCCTGGCAGTTCTCGGGGGACTATATGGGATGCCAGGGATCGAACCTGCTGTGTTCAAGACAAATTCTCATTCTGCTCTACTGTTGCTCTGGCCCCTAAAGTCCAGCTTCTTAAAATATAGGTTCAATGGGGTCTCATAATTGAGTATGGAGACCGTGAAAAATATGGCAACACACAACCAAAAAAGAATTAAAAATCAACTGCATAGTGAATCTGCAGTGTTCCCAACAGTGCACACCATGCGGCTTTCTTGGGCGGAAGGTGGGTCACGTGAAAATGTAAACCCTCATCTAGACTGAGATGACTGAAAGGACTGGAGCACAGGCTTGGTATGCAGGAGCCCGCATTCCATCTCCAGCACTGCATGGGCCCGTTGACAGCCCCAGGAGTGACCCTGAGCACTGTGAGAGGCCTGGGCCTCCAACCAAACAATATATGAAAGATGTCATACTCTCAATCAGTGTGGATCACTTGATCACTTGACTTCCCATTAATCGTCGATTTGCTCGAGCAGGCACCAGTAATGTCTCCATTTGTCCCTGTCGCGTGCTAGTGTAGCCCAATGTTGTCTGTTCACTCTAGGAACACGAAGAGCCTCAAACCGATCGTTCATGATCTTGATGAAGAAGTCTGACCATCTGGTAGGTGGGCGGTCATGTGGTCTTTTGACATCCCGTGGAATCCAGTCGGTAACAGCTCTAGTCCAGCGGTCGTCTCTAAATCTCATTATGTGACCAGCCTATCTGATTTTTGACACCTTGGCAAATGAAACAGCGTCCCTGATTCTTGATCGTCAACGGAAGTCGGAACTCCGGATTCTTTCTCTCATTTGAGTAAAGCATGATACTCCAAGCTTAGCTCTTTCAATTCATCTTTGGGAGACCCGAATAGCGTTCTCATCCTGTTTGCGTAGGGCCCAGGTCTCTGAGGCGTATGTTAATGCAGGAAGAACAGTGGAATCAAAGAGATGTGCCCGGAGCTGGAGGTTCTTCGTCCTCTTAGCTATTTCTTCGACACTCTTGAAGGCGTTCCAAGCTGCTCTCTTCCTTCTGCGCAGCTCGGGTGCCAGGTCATTTGTCATGTTGACTTCTCGACCTAGGTACACATAGCTGTTGCATTCGGAGATGGTCTTTCCGTTGAGAGCGAATGGGGCGTGAAGAACGAGGCTGTTTCTCATAAACATTGTCTTCGTAAGATTCAGCTATAGTCCAACCTTTCCACATTGACGGTCGAAGTTGGCCAGCATTTGTGGCGCTTGGCTAATGTTTGGTGTTATTAAAACAATGTCATCAGCAAAGCGAAGGTGGTGTAGTTGCCGACCATCTATCTTCACTCCCATTCCTTCCCATTCCAGTCGTCGCATGATGTTCTCAAGGGTGGCACTGCAGAGTTTCGGTGAAATGGTATCACCCTGCCGAACCCCTCTCTCTTTTTTTTTTTAATAGTGAGACATCATGAGGTACAGTTGCAGACTTACACATTTTTGTGCTTGGGTTTCAATTATACAATGACCAAACACCCATCCCTCCACCAGTGCGCACCTCCCACCACCATGGATCCCAGCATCCCTCCCACCCCCCAGCCCCCATCCCACCCTGCCTCTGTGGCAGGGCATTTCCCTCTCTCTCCTTTTGAGTGCTGTGGTCTGCAAAAGAGGCATTGAGTGGCAATCATGTTTGGTCGATGTCTACTTTCAGCATGCTTCTCCCATCCTGGGCGGATCCTCCCACCACCCTTTATTTGGTGTTGCCTTCTCTTTCTGAGCTCCCTTTTCCCCTAACATGTGTGGTTGGCCTCCAGGTCATTGAGTAAAATTCTTGGTACTGATCTCTGCCATTCTTGGGTGTTAGTTTCCTATTTTGTTACTTTGTGTTCCCCAGATGAATGCAATCTTTCTATGTCTATCCCTTTCTTTCTGAGTCATTTTGCTTAACATGATACTTTCCATGTAGTACCACTTGTATGTAAATTTCATGACTTCGTCTTTTCTAACAGCTACATAGTACTCCATTGTGTAAATGTACCAAAGTTTCTTTAACCAGTCATCTGTTCTCAGGCACTCAGGTTTTTCCCAGATTCTGGCTATTGTAAAGAGTGCTGCAATAAACAGACAATTGCAGATGTCACTTCGGCTATACTTTTTTGCCTCTCTGGGATATATTCCCAGGAGTGGTATTGCTGGGTCAAATGGGAGCTCAATTTCTAGTTTTTTGAGAATCATCCATACTGTTTTCCAAAAGGGCTGAACCAGTCGGCATTCCCACCAACAGTGAAGGAGTGTCC